ATCTGGTGGGGCCGGCTGGTGGGGGTGCCTGGCTGGGGCTGCGCCCGGCTGCCGGCTGGAGGCGCAGGCGGCTGCTTTGTGTGCTGGGGCGTAGCCCGGGGCCGCTCGTACCGGCTCCGATGCCGCCGGGCGGGCGGGCGGGTCCCCCGGTTGCCCCACGCATCCCCTGGGGGCCTCCCTGGCAGCCACCCTCTCTGCCACGGCAGCGCCGCCCCCAAGGGTGACAGCCAGAGCGCTGCCCTCACACGCCTCACCCGCCGCCGCTGCAGATACGGCGATGGGCATCCCTGACGCGGTCCGGCCATACCTGCCCCCTAACGATCCCATCTTCTATACTGAGGTGCCTCCTGGCCCTGCCCCCTGCCCCTGCCCCTGCTGCTGCTCGATACTGCTCTCTGCCCCGACTGCGCCGCCCGCTGCCTTAAAATCCCCCGGGTGGGATGCCTCTCCCCGCCCTACGATGTGCCGCCCCTCCCTCTGTGTGCTGCCCTGCCTCCTGCCTGGCCCGCCTCCCGCCCGACCCCTGCCTGCCCTCTGCCCGCTTCCTCTCCCACGCCCGGCCACACCACTGCTCCCCGCCAGCCTTCCCTCCTGCCTTCCACTGCCCGTCCCGCCCTCACGCCCGCCTGCTGCTCGCCGAGGCGCCTGCTGGCCCCAGGTCGCCGCCTCACGCGCTGCGAATGCGCCCCGCTTGTGTGCCGCCGCCGCAGGCGGACACCCGAATCATCGGCCCCAGTATCAATACTGTGGTGGTTGGCACGGAGGACTATCACCGCAAGGGTGGGTGGCACGGCCAGCCTGGCTGGGCTGGGCGAGCCGGGGTGCGCGGCGCACTGGCGGCGGTCTGCCAGCGCAGCGGCGTGAGCCCGTTATGGCCTGCGGCAGCCGCGGGGCGAAGCGGACTGTCGGAAGCTGGCAGGCCGCGGCTGCGGTGGTTGCTGCCGCTGGCACGTGGGCGTGCTGGCTGACGGTCCCGCTGGGTGGCTGCAGGGAGGGAGGAGGTACGGGAGTTCGACAAGGTGATGGAGCGGTACCGCAGCCACGTGTACCGCCTCAGGTGCGTGGCAGCTTCCGCCCCGCGCACATGCCTGTGCCCCCGTCTGCGCACGCCGCGGCCGCGTGGCGCCGCAATGCCAGGTGGCGCGCCCTGCGCATGCCTCAGCCTCGCTGCTTGCTGCCGCATGTGGCTGCAGGCAGCGCATGCTGACCGGCGGCAGCGGCGCTGTGCGGGACATCATGCACCTTGCCTTCCAGGCGCGCCCCCTTGCATTCCCCCCTGCCAGCCCTGCATTCTTCCCATTTCCCAGCGCTGTGGCCATGCTCGCGGCATGGTGCAGGAACCCACCCGCCACCCTGTCTGGCCCTGCCCCCTGCAGGACACGGCCGCGGCGGTAGTGGCGCGCCTGGCGCCTGCCTCGCAGCCGCCGCGCAGCTGGCGGCTGCTGGAGCTCATGCGCCATGTTCACGCCCTGGTGAACTGCGAGTCCCAGCTGGATCCTACGGTCGATTTCCAAGGTGGGTGGCTGCCGGGCGGCCAGCGGGCAGCCTCGCAGCCTCGCAGCCGCGCCTGCTGCAGAACCTCCTGAGCCTGCCTGCTGGGGCCCGTGCATACTGGCTGCGGGGCCTGCGCCAGCCAGGGCTGGAGGTGGCGCTTTGTTGGGTCGGAGTGGGCGGCGGCATGCTGTGTGCCACATAGTGTGCCTCACTCCCAGCCTGAGCCGCTCCTGCCATGCTTTCTTGGCGACGCTGCAGGCCAGCCCTGGCAGGTGGATGTGCAGGGCGGCTTTGTGGTGCCCCGCATCAACCTGCGGCCCCAGGAGACGGCACAGGAGCTGCTGGCCGCTCTGGAGAGCGGCGGCGAGCTGCCGCTGCCGCCGCTGGTACCAGACATTGCGGCCGGGCAGGGCAGCCTGGGCGGGCAGCTGGCGCAGCGTGACGGGCCGCCCGCCAGCCCCTGCCTGCCGCTGCGCGAGCGGCAGCGGCTTCTGGCGCTGCGCGGCCAGCTGCAGGCAGAGGAGGCGTGGCGGGCCGCGGATGCTGCCGCGGCCGCGGCGGCTGCGCCGGAATCGGCCGCGCCGCCGCGCCTGGCGCGCGGCGCCTACTCGGCAGCTTCCCAGCGCCTGGCCGCCTGGCTGGCAGAGTACCTGGCGGTGCAGCAGCGCAACAAGAGGGTACTGATGAAGTGGTGGTGGTGCTGCCACCCCATGGGCGGTACCACCCCCGCCCACGCGGAATCTTCGGTGGCCATCTGCGAGCGGGATACCCTGCTGGCACGCCTGGACGGCCTGTGGGCTGACTTCCTTGCGGTGAGCAGCGGGGGCGGTGCTGGGTGGCTGGGACTGCCGGGGACTGGTGTGTGGCTGGCCACCTGCCTGGCATACACGTGGCTGCCTTGCCTACGGGGCTGCCGCGGCGCGGCCCGTGCCGCCCGCCCCGGCGTGCCTGCGCCCCTCGCCCCGCCGCCGCGCTTGCCGCTTCCCTGCAGCCTGGCGGGCAGCCTCGCGTTCTCGCCTGGCCCTGCCTCCCTCTCGTCTCACGCGTATCCACCGCCGCCGCCGCCGTCTGTATAAATCCCTTGCAGGACACCACACAGCTGCAATCGCTGGTGCGCATGCGAGCCTTCTCCGCCTTTGACCCAAAGGAGGAGTACGCTCTGGAAAGCGCAGACCTGTTTGCGCGCCTGCTGCTGGGTGAGGGCCCACATCATCGCCGTTGGGCCAGCGCGGCAGGTGGAGGGGAGCTGCCGCCCCCGGCTGTGCCGGGCCGGGCGCTACCACCCTCGCCGGCCCGCCGCGCGTGCCCTGCGCCCGGCGTCCAGCCACGCGCGCACGCCAGGCCGCAACCAGGCACACCGGCACTCCACCCCGCGCTATCACACCCCTCCCCACCCCCCTCCCTGCCCGCAGATTTCAAACGCCTCTCCATCCTAGACGTGTTTGGTGGACTGACCCTGACGCAGCTGTCGGGCGCGTCGCGCAGCTACCCGCTGCAGCTGGCAGCGCTGGAGGAGGCCGAAGACGAGGAGGAGGCTGACAAGGAGGCGGCGGCGGCGGCGACGCCCGGCAGCGGCCTGCCGCCCTCGGCCTTGCAGCTTCCTTGGGAGAGGGCGCCCCTTACCACCTCGCAGCACCATGATGCTGATGATCTGGGGGCCCTGCTTGACAGCCCAGAGGTGTCTGCGCGGCTAGAGGCGGCGGCGCAGGCAGAGGCGGAGCGCGGCCGCGCGGCGTCGGCGGCGCGGGCGGCGCGGCAGGCCGCGGCGCGCGCCGCGGTGGCGGGCGTGGACAGCCACGCTGCCAGCCTGGCGGCGGCCATGGAGGAGATGAGCGGCGTGGTGCTGGGCCTGGGGAAGAAGCTGGCGGTGTTTGAGGGGAGGGCGCAGGAGCTGTGTGATGACTCACGGCAGCTGCTGCGCGGCACGGCGGAGCGGTGCGGGCAGCTGGGCCAGCTGATCCAGCGGCTGGACGAGGGGCCAGTGGAGGCCGCCGGCGCCGCCAGCCGGGCGGCGGACGAAGCCAGCAGGCAGCTGGCGGCGGCCGGCGCGGCGGGCGACGCCGAGGCGGCCGCCGCGGCGGTGGCCCGCCTGGAGCGGGCGGCGGCGGAGATGCAGGCGGCGGCAGAGGAGGTGGCGGCGGGGCTGATCCGTGTGCAGGCAGACGCCGCCTCCATCCAGCCCAAGATGGCTGCCGCCGAGGCCCTCCTGGCGCTGCCGGCGAAGTAGCAGCGGGAGGCGCTGGCGGCGGCGGCG